TGTACCTGCTTCACAAATGTGCACTCAAGCGTTTCTCAAAGGCACTGCCGTGTGCATCTCATATCCTAAACCACCAAGCTGGACATGCTTTTGTTCTTTAGTGATTCAGGTTCCAAGTCTGGTGAACAGTTTTATATGGGATTCCAGGTAATCTTTCCTCTTTGCCACAGGTGCTTTTTCTATACACCTGGCTTAAATTAAGCCTCTGTAGCTTGATCCCTACAGATACCTTTCCTGTAGAAAAGAATGAAATTGAGTAATAGGGCAACTCTCCTGCATTCTAGTACTGCCTCTCCTTCTGAGGAAATTGGCACTGAAGTTTGGGAGTGTTTCGGTTTCCAGATTGTTCACAGACTTGTAATATGACCATAAATAAATCATTTAAGCACTTGTTGCTTCATTTCTATTTTTATTACCCCCGGTCTGTAAAATGTGCATAGTATTGAGAGTGTGTGGAGATTTTTACATGGGAATCTTAGTGTGCTCAGGGAACAGACTCCTATAGCTCAGTATTCTGCCTCTGACATGGATATCTTGGGGATCATATAAGAACATAGAAGCAGAGTAATGCTGACTTAGGTGCAGTTTGCCTCCATTTTCTTGGGGCAGGGACTGCCTTGGAGCAGGGACTTCCTGACCATCTGTCTTAGAAAGCCCCTGATGGCTTCCCTGTTTTCCTCCTTTCCCCAAGAATTTGTATAGTGGCTTTTTTTATTCACGTAGACTTTTATCATCAGCCCTGCCTTACAGCATGTCATTCCACAGTGCAGCTACAGACCTAGAAGCACTTTCTTTTGTTTTGGAAGTGCTGCTTAGTTTCATTTTGTGCTCAAGAGGCCAGAAGCTGAACACCTGCCCTTGGCTTTGTTTTTATAGGCTCTGTCACCTTGCATCTCAGCTTCTGTCTTAAATTATTTTTTCCTGTGTGAAATCCATTCCATATCTCTGATCATCCTAGTTATCCCTGTCAATACCTTGTCTGGATCTGCTCTATTCTTTTTTTTTTTTATATGAGAGTAGACAAGCAAAACACAGTGTCCTGTTGTGAATGTACCATGCAAACCGTGGTACATCCTATTTTTGCAGCTGATTCTTTACTTGAAGCAAACTGATTTTGGACATTCCAGCAGAAATGCAGCACATTGTACACACTCTCCAGGAGCTGGTGCTTAGTTAATTGTTACTAGCAAGTGCTGTGAACTTACAGGCTGGGTTCTTGTTGGCAGGAGTTGAAAGTAAGTTATGGTGCCACAAAGATTTAGAGCATTTAAGGCCTGTGTTTGAGAGGCCGTCTGCTGGTTACAGGGGTGAATGTACTGCAGACAGTGCCTTCAGCCCTCATCTCTCTGGCCTTCCTGCTGAAGAAGGGTTAAGTATGAAATGGAAAACATGGAGCAGAGGACCGGTGTGATTCAGCACGTGGTTGCAGCCTCATTCTAAAGCTGAGTCTCAGCGTGGTATTTAGGGAAGTGTGGCTCAGTGGCCGCCTGCAGTCAGTGTTTCAGGTTCAGATGCTGAATCCTTCAGTGGATATCAAAGATTTCTGGCACTTGGGGCATTAACCATGGTACCATGGGATTAAGACTGAGTAACTGCATCTGCTTTACTTACATGCCCTGTGTGTCTCTCAGTGGTATAAAACACTTGTTTCCTCTCCAAAACACTCTTCCATAACAGACAAGCTTAACCCAAATTAGCTTGGATTGCTGTAAGCTAAGATTGCCAGCGTGGACAGTAAGCATGGATCACAGCAGTAAGTCAGGATGTCAGAGCAGGGTGAAATTGCAGACCTGGCTGTGCTTTTCTCAGTAAAAGGTTATAGTGTCAACATGGATCAAGTTATGGCTGAGTATTGATGCAGTATTAATATCCAACAAATCATTATCACTATCCTCCCACTTGATTTTTGTTTTATACCACAGGCAGGTGTTTGTAGGGAAAGCTCTTTGTTTCATAATATTTTTAAAGGGGGTGTGAGTGCATGCAAGCATCCCCAGCCAGTCCCCGGCTCTGGGTGGTGAGGAGAATTCCAGGAACTCCAGGAAACTGATGTCACTGCATTGTGTTTGCTTGTTTTCTTTTGACTGCACTAATGTTTAATTTTAACTTAACCCTCAAAGGGGTATTTTTAGTAAAGCTGTTTCTTCACTCCCATCCCATGTTGGGAGGGCAACAGATTGTGTCTCCTTGTTTTTTCCAGTAGTCAGCTCTTTCTGCCTTCGCTCTGAAGAGCTCTCTGATGATTGACTGAGAGCTTGAGCCCTCAGCAGCATGTCCTGTCTGTGCATGGAGTGGCTGGAAGTTGGTGTTTTTTGTGTCCCTGTGTCTCTTTTGATTTGATCATCGATCCAGGCTGAAAGGAAGCAAATCTACCTGGACAAAAGGACTCCATTCTGTTAAAAGATTAATACATCTTCCAAATCTTTGGCTACTGCTGTGGCTGTCCTAAGGGGTTTTTTTGTTTGCTTGTTTTTTAAGCCAGAGATCAGACTTAAAATTCATCAGCCCCAGAAAGCAGAGTTTGAATAGCAAAAACTGGACTTGCTCTGCTGATCTCGAAGAAAGGAATAAATTCTTGTATCTAGTTTTATTTGTTTATTAATTAAAAATAAAAAAAAGGAAAAGGCAAGAAATACAACTCTGTGCAGAGCATGGATTTAGTGGAGAACTTCCATATCTTTGTCCTGAGATTTGGCTGCTGTTTCTGTGGTTTGATGTTTGTGTATTTCTGCAGCCAAAGAACAAAATCAGAAAACTCTTGTTTCATCCTATTCCATTCCCAGTCTGTGTGTTACAATAATTGCTCGGGTGCCAAATGCGAAGATAAAAAGAATTGCAGTGTTTTTGGTTTGTCATTGTTTCATGTATGAAAATGGCTTTCATTTGTAATTATCTACACATTATAAGAAGTGTGTATGTGGAGAAGCTATTGAAAAATGACAGCGGAATAATTAAATTCACACCAGCTTCTCGTGCGAATACGAAGACATCAAGAGTGTCTTCTGTGGTTTAGCTTGGAGTAGCAAACTTTGGTTCATTTTCCTGCACAAACAGGTCTCTGCTCTTTGAAAGGCTGGGTAAGAAATGCCTTTATCTCTGGCAAAGGGAGATGTATAAGTATGGGCTCATCAGCGTTATATACCTTGCACCTTCTGAAAGCTTTACCTCCTGCTGCACTCCTGAACAGCATCACTCAGTAATGCCAGGGGCTGTTGGTGGGCACTGAAAGGGTTACTTGGTGCTGTGCAGCAAGGCTTGTTGATGAGAGAGGGGTGGGCTTGGGTTCCCTATTGCAAGGGTTTGTTGTGCCTGGATATTTCTGTTGCCTGTTCTCTCTCCCCTGGCCCCCCCCTATCCTGTAATTCACTTTTAAAAGAAACCAGTTTGGGTTGTGCTGAGCTCAGCACTGCAGCCATTTGCAGAGACACCACAAGGAAAAGCAGCACTTCTCAGTTTACAGGCTGGACCATGGTAGGAGACAGTCATTCCTTACACTCACAGATTGCTTATGCACCCAAGGTATTGCCCACTGAGCAAACAAGGGTTGTCTCACTGCTTCCTCTCCATCCCCATGTGTACATGTGTGTGGGGGGAAGTCAGTCACCTTTTTGAGGGAGGACCCATGTTCTGTGTTTTTTCGTGCAGCATTTAGCCCAGTGCTCTGATGGGTGTCAGTGTCTGTATTTTTTTGTCACTTACTGGGCATTTTGCTGGTAAGAGGATTGTTTATGCCAGTTTTACTGAATTCTAGTTCCCAGCTGTGGGCTTCAATTTGCATCTTTTCATACAATTTGGACTGCTTGTTTTGCTGTGTAAATCTTCTGTGTATTGGTTTACTTTCTTGTTTACTGTTTCTCTGCACCTAGAAGACATGTAATCCTGGGATTTGGCTGAGCATCCTGCTGTTCTGGCTTTGCACCCCTCAGTTCTGGACAGTGCAGGACAGGGGAGAGACAGAAAAAGGGAATTTCAGTTTCCCAAACTCATCTATCTTCTCCATCCTTCAAGGCCAGGTTGGATAGGGCTTGGAGCAGCCTGATCCAGAGGAGGGCATCCCTGCCAGTGGTAGGGGGGTTGGAACAAGATGATCTTTAAGGTCCCTTCCAACCCAAACCATCCTGTGATTCTGTAGTCCTTCCAACCCCACAAATCAAGGATGGGTGATCTCTAGACAAGCCTTTCTAATTAGTTCTCGTTTTGTAGCACTCATTTCTGTGTGCCTGGGTAGTGTTGCAATTTACAGCCCCCTTTTATGTGTTTGTAGCATTTTTATCAGCTTTTTCGTGCCTGTCCTGCTCTGTCACTGTTCCTGTAATGCCACCTTGTGGTGGCCCCGCGATGCCAAATGTGTCTTTTCTAGCCAACACAGCTACCTCTGTGTGCGTGCAGTGATTGCAGCTCCTCTTTATGAGTGTGCTGGTGGATCAAGGAAATCCCCATCTCCAGCTGTGTGGTATCAGGGTGGGATCTTCTGAAGCTCAGGTGTTGTGTTAGACAGGGACCTTTGTGGCAGATACCTGCTCTGGGTGCTTTAGTCTGATCCTGCAGAAGAACATAGCTACTGTCTGTTAGAGGGATTGATTAAATATTACCTGTGTAATCAGGACAGTGGTGTGTTGTTCACTCACAAGTCATAAAAACAAGCTACTCGTTCAGTTTTCATCCCTGATACACTCTGTATTGTTTGAAGTCTTGCATTGTTTTAAGTGCTCCTCTGAGCACAGAGGAGTTGTTTAATGCTTTGAAACACTGCTCTCTTGTGATTGCAGGAAGTGTGTGTGGTGGGGAGTGTCAGGATTTTGTAGAAATTCCAGTTTTATCTCTAATGCTTTTTTTTCTCAACCTATTTGGGCTTTGAATAAGCCACAGGGGCAAAAATACGTCCATTACATCTTCTTCCCCGTGACCTGAGAGCTTTACTGTACCTTGGAGAGTAACTACTGTGTGCCTTGCTAATAAATGAAGTAACAAATAACTGTATTTTCTTTTTGTCTCCCCAGTGTTCCCAACTCTTGCCCGGCCAGTCCACGTGGTGCTGGATCCTCAGGATATCGTTTTGTCCACAACATTACCTCGGATCTGCAGCTGGCAGCAGAGTATGCGGCAAAAGCGGCATCAGAGCAGCAGGCAGATGCATCTGGCGGGGACAGCCCAAAGGTTCACAGAGACATTACTTATCCAGCAGTGCTCCTTGGGAGGCTTCTTAAAACCTGATGCTTTATGGCTAGTCCTGGTTGTAGTTAAAAGAGGTCTGAGAATACCCTGGCCATAAGGGTGCTGTGTGCAGTATCCTCCAGGGGTTCGAGACCTTGCCTTCAAACCAGCATCTTGTTAGTGGTAGCTGATGAATCTACTTGCTTAGCTGCCAGAAATGTATTCAAATAATCCATTAAAATGATTAAGCAATAAGATTTTTTTTTGCTTATTTGATAAATCAAGGGCCCATAAGGAAGAGGTACAATAAAATTAAAAGTCTTGTTTTCTCCTTTTAATTAATGGTATTTTGCAAAACACAGTTGGAGAAAGCAGAAGCGGGGGAAGAAACCAGATCCTGGCCATGAGAAGTCTGTAGTCAGACTTTAAAACAAACATGAAGGCCTGTCAAGCAGGCATTAAATGAGGAGAGTGGCAAGTGGATTAAAAAATAACTTAGTTAGAATGATAAAATTTAATTTTGGTGAGCTGATCTTCAGATCAAAGTTAAAGGTCTGGATTCAAAACCACCTGATTTGGGGTTGGGTGGAGGAGCACGGTACTAGATGGCTTTTTTTGTAGACTTAATTCTCCCTTGAGACAAGAAGGGTTGTTTTTGATGGAGTAATATGAAGAGTTGGGAATATGAGATCTGGCAAACAAATTAAAGTACCTAGAATGAAACAAATCCTGCTGGAGAAGGGAAGGAACAGGATCAGGTTTCATGTTGGACTCGTTGCTGGGAGGAGGGCTGATAGCACACTGCATGAAACCTTTCTAAGGAAGTGTAGCTGTAGCTGGGCAGATTTGAATGCTGTAGTTTCATGAACAAGAAAGCAATGAATGTATCCTACACCCTCTAACTCTTGATTCCAATTGCTTCTCCTGACCCTGTTCCTTGTGCTGATGTAAGCACATGTGGGAAATTCAATGGGGAATTGAATGAGATTGAAGTTAGCTTTTTAGTGTATGTTTGTTGGGAAGAGGGAAGGAGATACTTTGGTCTGGCTCAGCCCTATAGTTCTGTTTGCACACAAATGCTTGTGCTAAATTGGGTGGTGACAGTATAAAACAGGAGTGAAATGGGAGAGGGTGATGCTCTCTTGGCTGCCCCTGCTGCTCTCTTAGCATCTGTGCTTTTTCAGTTTGGGTTGTGGTACACTGTAGTGCAAGAATTCTTTGTTAGTGACTAAATTTCTGTTTTGTTTTTTTTTTCCTTAGGATGAGTCCAAGCCACCCTATTCTTACGCTCAGCTAATTGTGCAGGCTATATCTTCAGCACAGGACAGGCAATTAACACTAAGTGGGATCTATGCCCACATTACCAAGCATTATCCATATTACAGGACTGCTGACAAAGGCTGGCAGGTGAGTTCTTGACACTGACAAGCTTTTAAACTACTTTGACAGGGCTTATCTGCTTTGAAATGCATTTATTAAAGATTTGGGGCACTGGGAATAGACCTGCTTTGACTGTTCCCAGAGTGAATTTGTTTAACACAAGCTGACTAGTTTGTTTGTGGATGATTAGTTTTTTTGGAATACTTTGTAGGGCAATGTAGTGTGTTTCTCTTTTAATGCTGTATTCATGTAGCTTTAATTCTTATTTGTATTTTATTTTCCTTCATCCTTGCTATCAATCACTGCTCTGCCCAGATACTTGCTTAATCCTTCACCTTGTCTTTATTTGGCATGATCTGTCCAAGCAGAGGATATCCAGCCTAAAACTGAGGTTCCAGTTTTTAATCACAGTACCTTAAAATGTTACAGATGTTTTCTTTTGGTTTTGTATCAACTGCATTGCCTAAGTCACAGTTTGCAGGTCTTGAATCTGAGTGAGAACTTGGGAAACTGAGAGTCTGTGCACTCCTTGTGGTATTAAAGGAAATCTGACCAGCTTCACAGGAGAGTTTGAATATAGTTAACACATGCTAAATCAAGGTTCAGTGTTCACTTCAGGGCTACTTTCAAAGTTCCAGGAACCTCAGCTCCACCTGCTTTCAGACTTTTTCTTGGCATCACACTTCTGAAATGGGTGTTGTCATTCGAATATAACACACCAGTGCAGCTGGAAAGGCTCTTGCAGCTGCTGATTTCATTGTGTTCTACTGGCAGGAGCAGAACTGCTTGGTGCACTTTGAGTGCAGTTGGAATAAATACATTTCTGCCTCCCTGGCTTTTCCCTGCAGTTCTAATTAATTGTGGAATTCACTTCCTGCCCTAACCTGCTCGGCAGAGCTGTGCTTTGCGAACCAGTTGCTGCCTCCTGCTTCAGAGAGCTGCATCTCAGTGGAGGGTGAAGTTGCCGTTTTCCCTCCCCTCCAGTGACATTGAAAAGCTTTACCTGTGAAGAGATTGTCTAAACCTGCTACAAAAGCTCTTGTTTTGTTTTGGAAGTGGAAGAGGGATGAGTTTGTGCACACCTGGCTTTGCTGAGCCCCTCCCCAAGCCCAAAAGCCAGCGCTACACCCAGTAAGAGGTGGGCTGATCCAATGGAAAGCATAAATAGTCTTGTCAGCATCTAGAGAGCTGCACAGTGCCAGCCTAGTGCCACACAGGTAATGATTCCTCTCAGAGCCAGCTGTCTAAGAGCATGTGGCTGGCTTACATTATGATTACTGTGAGATGCAGTGTCCTTTAGGGCATGTTTGGGCACCCCGGTAATCGTTTGGCAGGTGAGCAGTTAGCACAGGCTCAGGCAGTTCTTTCCACTTGCCTAGAATAAAGCCTGTCTTCTGAGAGAGTTCTGATGTGGTTTACAGCGATTTCCCCCTGTCTCAGCAAAGGCTCTGCTTTCCTTGCTTTCCACAGAGAAGTCACTGCACTGCCTGGCTCCAGATGTATTTAAGTGGTGGTTAGTACCAAGCAAACCCAGCTTTCAGGCTCGTTAGTAGGAACTCTTAGCGCTTTTCGCCAGGTTTTCTCTTGCACTTCTCCGGTGACTTCAGAGCTGTGTGAGTTGAGTGACTTGTTTCTGTCTTCAACACTGATTCTGGCAGTGTGAGTTTTATTTTTCCAAGCTGTCTGGTGAAACTCATTTGTCTTTGTTACATGCTTTCTCATGGCAAAATAATCACCTCATTCCTCTGCTTCCTGCAGAATTCCATTCGGCACAACCTCTCCTTGAACCGTTACTTTATTAAAGTCCCACGCTCCCAAGAGGAGCCTGGAAAGGGCTCCTTTTGGCGAATTGACCCTGCCTCTGAAGCCAAACTAGTAGAACAAGCATTTAGAAAACGAAGGCAAAGAGGAGTGTCCTGCTTCCGAACACCTTTTGGGCCTCTCTCCTCCAGGTAATTTCAATTTCCTCTAATCTCTGTGCCAGACTCATTATAAAGAAAACAAAACTAAAACTTCTCCTGAAGTACAGTGAGTAAAGTTCACTTCTGTTTATAGTTTGAGAGGTGATACAGTCTTGAGGCGTAATCTGAAAGTGATTCTGACTTCTTAAGTGTTTAACAAAAAAAAAAAAGCAGAACCAAACTGCAAAAACGCATCAAATAACATACCTGTTTTGGCATCATTTCAAAGCAGTTATCACTGGGCTAAGTGTTTTCAGATGCCAGTCTCTGATTTCAGGAAAGCTGTGTTTAGATGTGGATTAGATCATAGTGGGAATAACTTCTGTGGTATTTAAAACACTCTCCTGTAGTGAAGATCAGGTTGATCGTGGTTGTCAGCAGTGAAGCAACAACAGTAGCTGCTCCAGTCAGCTCCTCTGCCTTGTGCAATGACAGCTTCTCTGAGCCCTGTAGCTGTGAGGATGAGACTTGCAATTCAGCACTAGCTGGAGCAGTTTCATGTAACATTCCTCCCACACCTCCTCTTTTCTGTCTGTTAAAATAGGGGGTAAACAGGAGGAGTTTAGAAAAAAGCTCTTCAGCTTTTCTATTTGGTTTGTCATTAGAGAAATGTACAATTCCTCAATTGTCTGTGTGGTACCAGAGATGGGAAAGATGGGAACCAAGTGGTTGGGGAGGATGGCAACAGGGAGAAGGGGAGCAGCAGCTCTGTAAGCATATGCAGGGCCAGACACTTGCCTCTACGTTGCATCTTTCTTTCTCTCCCTCTCCCTGTCGCTCTGAAACACTGACCAAGGTGCTTTAAGAACGATCTGAAGTTATAAAACTGATCTGAACGTGAATCACTTAAAGCTTCTGTCAGCAGCAGGTCTTATAATGAAATGTTAAGCATACTCTGAAGGGTCCAGTTTCCTTCAACAAGGAATAATATGACAGTATTTGGTGCTAGAGCATTTGTGAGGTTGCTGTGTACCTTTTAACTCTTCCCAGCAAGACTCTAGTGGGTAGTATGGGAGAAAGGCTGTCCTTCTGCTAGAGGATCCTGTATTGGAGAAAACTCTTGGTCTCTGCTGCTGTCTTGTGGTCAAAATGCATCTACACTTGCCAACACTACGTTTTGTGTTTCAGGAGTGCTCCTGCCTCCCCTACTCACCCTGGCCTGCTGTCCCCTCACTCTAGTGGCCTACAGACTCCAGAGTGCCTGTCACGGGAGGGCTCACCCATTCCACATGATCACGACTTTGGGTCAAAGTTAGCCTCAGTTCCGGAATATCGGTATTCCCAGAGTGCACCTGGTGAGTAGCTCTTGTTCCACAGAGGGTGACTGTTCAGTTGCACCATGTGCCATGCTGAGGACACAGCAGGGAGGCTTCTGCAGTGTGTTACAGGAGGATCTAGGGGTGTCTCTTTTCACTTCATCGAGAGACTGATGATACATGTGCAACTTCAGACTGTTTTTCTTACTAGTCTCTGGATGAGGGGGCAGGAGGTGGAATGTGTGGAAACACCTCAGCTAACTTTGAACTAGGTGACTGTAAAGACCTGACAGCAGAGCAGCCGTGGCAGTGCACAGCTCACTGTCACTAATTTACCAGCCTCTGGATAAGATCAGCTTGGCTACACAGAGCTCTGGTGCTGTGGCCAGGGCCTGGTAAGTACCCGTTTGTCAGCTGTGCTGTAACTGGCCTGGAGTGTAGGGTGAAGTTGGAAGGCAAAGCTCATGAAGTAAAGCTTCTTTGGGGGGGATGTGTTATATTTATTGTGATTTTTGTTCACAGAAATGTGCTCAGATGACAAGTAAGGTTTTTGTACGTTAGGAAAAAGAAGTTTGAAGGTGGTATTTTTTGAAGTCTTGATTTTTTTTTTCTTTCTCCATTCCTGCCAATGCTGAAGGATTGAGTATTGCAGACTAGAAGTGCATAGATTAAATGGATGAAGGTCTTTTTGCCTCTCCTATTAACGTGTGCTTCTCTCTTCTGTTCAGGGTCTCCAGTGAGTGCCCAGCCAGTGATTATGGCTGTTCCTCCCCGACCATCTACCCTGGTGGCAAAGCCCGTGGCGTACATGCCAGCGTCAATAGTGACTTCTCAGCAGCCTTCCTGTCACGCAATTCACGTAGTTCAACAAGCTCCCACTGTTACCATGGTCCGAGTTGTGACCTCCTCTGCAAACTCTGCAAACGGATACATCCTCACAAACCAGGGCACGGCAGGAGGAGCTCATGAAGCTGCAGGAGCAGTGTTGGACTTAGCTGGTGACCATCGAGGTAGCTTTTCACCTCCCTTGCTACTCTGCTTATAAGTCTTGAGCAGGTTTGGAGGGGGGAGAGTGGTTGAACAGTTCCGCTCACTGGGCACTTAAAAAAAAGGCACTTAGCCCTTAAAAAATGTTTCTCCAGGTATAACATAAACCAAATGAGAGCTTGTCCATTTGTTGACCCCACCAGAGAGCAAGACAACTGTGCTCCCTTGTCTCCTGTGGGGAACAACACTAACAGTGTTAGTGTTTGGAGCCTGAAAAAACATGCTCTACTTAAAATTTGTTTATTATTGTAGAATCATAGAACGATTTGGTTTAGAAGGTACCATAAATATCTCATTCCAACCCCCTGCCATGGGCAGGGACACCTCCCACTAGGCCAGGTTGCTCAGAGCTCCACCCAGCCTGGACTTGGACAATCCCAGGGATGGGGCAGCCACAACTTCTCTGGACAACCTGTGCCAGGGCCTCCCCACCCTTACAGGGAAGAATTTCTTCCTAATGTCTAATCTAAAGCTGCTGTCTTTCAGTTTGAAGCCATTCTCCCTTGTCCTGTCACTACGTGCTCTTGTAATTATCCCCAATATTGATATTATACCTGTATATTGATCGGCTGGAAGTGCTGTGGAAGTGTGTGTTTTCCAGCCAAAAGAAGTGGCCTGGGAAAGGCTGAAACTCTGCTTCAGGATGGCCTTGTACATGAATGATTGAGCCCTTCTTTTCCAAAGACCTGGATTCCTAGAGGAAAGCATGTGCTTCTGGAAGTGCAGGCAGTGCCCCATTAAAGCAATCTTCAAAAACCAGTTACAACAAAGGCCTCTTTTGTTCCTAAGTTGGAAATTCCAGCCTGGGGGATTTAGTGAGTTAAATGCTCCCTTGCTGTGATGTAGACAACACCTTGTCTGCTCCCGGTTTGGGAAGGTCTTAGTACTACAAGGTAGATGTGTGTTGTACCATGAACAAGGCTGGTTTCTCTGACTGCTTTTATGTGGGCAGTGGGACAATGGTTCCTTTCCCATTGAAGAAAAAATATTACAAAGAGCTTCCCCTACTGCAGTACCAGGACCACTGGCATTTTTAGTTCAGCACTGCTTATCTTGCAGGAGTTTCACTTACATTCTCTAGAAATTCCTGTCTGGATCCCATACATGTTCCTGAAGTGCTAACAGTTGCAGCTGCCTGTCACCTGCTCCCTTCTTTCATTCAACTAGTTCTTGCTGTTGTTTGTTCTTTCCCTGCTTGTCCCACCATTATTCCCACTTGTATCCTTTTCTGGTCTCTACCTTCCCTGAGTGCTGCATTTTCCTTCCTAATCTCTCTGCTTTTCTTGCCTTTTCTCTCCCACTTCCCATCAGTTTGCCTGCAGGTTTCAGCTTAGTGCTCATGTCCCATCTAACTCAACTCGTGTTGTTAAAATGGGAGAGGTCTTTTCCTACAGGACTAAGAGGTTGTGCTTCCTGCCCTCTCTGCTTTGAGACCCACGGAGCCCCTGGAAGAGTGGTTCTCCTCTGCTTTCCTGCATGCCCAGCAGGATGCTGTCCTGTATCTGTTACATACCTGCTGAATTGACCCCTTACTTCTCCTGGGAAGTGAGAAAAGTGGTTGAGTGCTCTCAAGCAGTTACCTCTGTCCAGGAACTCAGCCCTACTTTTTATTTTTTATTTTTCCTCCCTCCTGGTTTCTTCGTATAATTCCATAGCAAAAGCTTGCAATTGTGGGAAGACCCCCTTCTAAATCAACCTGCATTCAGGCCTGACAGCAAGCTGCTACAGACTTTTGGCTCCAGGCATTGTTTAAGATCTTAGTGCCTTCTTCTGCTGTGTGGTATTGAAAGTCAGGCCAATTTGTTTGAAATTACAATGTAAGCTCTGAGCTTTGCAGAGACTGCTGTCCATATCACAGCTATAATGAGCCAATAAGGGAGGTGATACCCTTTTAGAGCAAAATAGCAAGTTGATAGTCTTGATTTATTTTTTTTTTAAGTTTTCGTTTTTTTGCTGAGTGGCTTATGCTATAAGAAAAATATTCTTAATATGGCTAGGATAAATATGCAGTAGAGAATATTTTAGTTTTTCCAAATACTCACCCCTGGCCTTCTGTGGTGCTGAGGTACTGTCACATCTGTAAGCCTGGGGTATGTAGCAGTGCTAAGGTGTTAATGAGAACAAAGCCAGCTCCTAAGCCAGGGTGGGGAGTGATTGTGTCTCCTCTGCTCTCCAACAGGAATGGATGAAAAGCCAACGATCGCGTTTGCCGCAATCCCCACAGCCAGCCGTGTCATCCAGACCGTGACCAGTCAGATGGCACAGGGTGTCCCTGGGCAGACAGTCACGATCCTTCAGCAGGCAGCTCCAGTGGCCATCGGGCAGCACCAGCTCCCGGTGCGGGCGGTCACCCAGAACGGCAAACACGCCGTGCCCACCAACAGCATCGCCGGCAACGCCTACGGTAGGCTCTGCTCCCTTGGCTTTGGGGTTGGGCTGCTCCCTGCACTCAGCAGGCAGCATGGAAAGCTGCAAGCCTTTTCTCTTTTTGGGTAGTGTGTATCAAGTTATTCCATGTGTCCACTTCAGAGGTATTCCAGTTCTTCAACTTCTGCGGCTGTAAATGTCATTGATAGATATCCTTGTGTCCACCTCCTCTCCCTTTCCTGGTGGAAAAGTCCTGCATTGCTACGGAAAACCCAGTGTCCCTCCTTTGCCCTTGGCCATGCAGTTCTAACTACTTAGACTCTCTACCTTTTGAGGGTTACTTGTTGAAAAGTGTCAGTGATTCTTGTGGAGAGTCTGTTTTCATTTATTTTCTTCTGACCAGCAGCCTTTGCCTGCAGCATGCCAAATAATAAAATTTCCATGGTGCTCCTTAGGTCTTGTGAAACTTGATTCTGTAGAGTACTAAGAAAATTAAATACTTTCCCATCTTAAGGTCTTAGAGCCTGACAGAAATAAGATCTGTTTCACCAGGTGAATGAATGACTGTAGGATTTTTGTATACACAGGATGTGTCTAGTAATTTGTCAAGCCTGATTTTTAAGTTCCATATGAGCCGTGTTTTAGCAGCCTCCTCATCTTGCTTGCTCAGCACCTCAGGTTTTGTTCAGTTAGGGATGATAATATCCAGGTGTCTTACAGCCCTTTTCAGTGAGATGGCAAGCACCTCTGCTGCCCTAGGCTAGTGCTTTTGGGGAGTTTGAAATGAAGGGCACTGGTGGGATTTGGATGGCTTTCATGAAGGTAGGAATGTTTCTACAGAATTTTCTGCCATGTCTCTTCACAGTTATCACCTGGCTTGCACTTGAATTGCAAGGATCTTATTGGAGCAATGAAAAAATGGTAATGATAAGATTTTTATGCAAGTAGGATATTAAGATATTTATAGATCAGATAGGCTGAGCTTCTACTACCCAGCAGTAGGGTTTGTCTAATATAGAATCAGCCAGCTTTTTATTTAACATTTTTATGTTAAGATATTTTAATGTCACCAAAATTTTTCTAACTGTCGTCAAACTGGGAAGTATTCCAGCTGCATCTGAGTGTTTTTGGTAACTGGCAGTGAATTTTCTAGTTCACAAAACAAAGCCTGAGTCTCTTGACTCTCCTCTGTACAAAGTTAACTTCTCTTCAGCTGCACGGTTTAGGTTCCCTGAGTCACTGAACTGTAATTGATGACTGCCCTCATCCTTACCCTATTTTTTTTCCCTTCATCCTCTTGATACTCTACAGCCTCCTTCCCATGCCTTGGTAGAAGTTGCTGGGCTTTGAGGACCTTTGTTCTGTTTGCTTTGTTTATTTATCCTAGAGCTCCTTTTTTGTTGCATTTAGCAGTGAACACAGCACTAATGTTCTGTGATTCCATCCTTTGCAAATCAGTCTGGAGGGCAGAGGATGTTCTGTCTCCTGGGTCGCCTTTGGCTGCCTCTCCAATTGAAGCAGAGTCCAAAAACTGCATGTGTTTTGTTTTCCGAGCGGTGCTGTGTGCCAAAGCCAGTGTGTAAGCACATTCTCTGTCTGGAACTAGGAATTGTAGACATTTTTATGGAGGGTTGCTACTTAAACCATCTTTTTTCTCACCATTTTTATTAATGGAAGGGTGAGATCTTGTGTTAGTACTGAAATACAAGACTGAAAGCCTAGGAAGAAGCATAGGAAGAAATTCCTATGTCCTGATCCCAGATCTGATGGGAACACATGTGGTTGTGTAGGGGAAGCTCTTTCCTGCCCCTTTTATGAGTGAGATGGCATACACTTAACATTTGGATACTAATCTAGTTTCCCAGCAGCCTGTCTGTTCTTCCTGTGTGAGCAGAGCTCAGGGGAGCCCCTAAACCTCCCAGCTGAAGGCCCAGCACAAAGATGTTGTACCTTGCAAGGAGTTCTGATTGTAGCTGATCAGAGAACTACCTCTCAAAGAGGAGGTGTACTGTGTTTTTTACCAGGACTTGATCCTCCCCTACTGGAGATGAATGCTTAGCTAACAATGCCTTATTTGACAGTGAATAGGAAGGAAATTCTCCTATGAACAGGGTTATTCCTGGTTTGGTAAACTTGCACAAAGCTGGGGTTGTGAATGGAGAGGGAGAGACAAGGCAAACAAGCCTTTCAAAATGGACTGAAAAACACTTGACCGTGTGCCAGCTGTCGCATTTGACCCGCGGTGTTTTGTTTTCTTGATTTCTGGAATAGCAAACACTTGTGCTGGTTCATCACACTAAATCTCTTTGTCTCTCTTACCCTCCTTCCCAGCTCTTACAAACCCACTGCAGCTCCTTGCAGCCCAGGCCAGCTCATCCACTCCTGTTGTAGTCAGCCGGGTCTGCGAGACGGGGACCGAGGAGACGGCAGCAGCCTCTTCCAGTGAACCTGAAGTGAAAAGAGCCCGGATAGAAGAGCCCAGTGGAGCAGTCCCAGCCCAGACTGGAGTCATCACATCTGCAATGCCACAAGGACAGGCAACCAGTGAATGAAGAACCGGTGGGAGGAGCTGGAGTGATGTGGGGTGGGCATGGGATGGCAGGAATCCTAAAGCAGCTTTCACAGGAAACAAACCACAACTGTAACAGCTCAAAACATAGCTGATATACAGCTCCTTTAAAGTCAGATTTTTAAATGGGAGGACAACAGCTGTTAGAGTCACAAGGTGCCAAAAAGAATGGAAAACCCCTCCCAAGAACCCATATCTGGAACTCTGTTCTGTCTTTACCTATGGGATATTTTTTCCTTTTTTTTTTTTCCTTTTTTTTTTTTAAAAAAGATTCAAAAAAATTACAGACAACTGATTGTATGACTGCTGGGATATTTTTAACTGTCTTTTCCCCTTTTGGCTCCAAGGGGATGGGATTTGCAGTTCAGCATCTAAAGGAATGTAATACAAATACAGTCTACTCCCTGGAAAGAAAACTCCTCACGTTCTATGCCTTAATACCACACTTCTGAGAGCTTTGAACCATAGGACCATTTCAATAAGGTCACCTAAGGCAATCAAATGCTGAAAGATGGGTGCAGTATCTCACAACAACATTAAAGAAACATGGTACCAAGCTTAAAGAAAAAGGCAAATGATTCTGTTTTTTTAAAGCAGAAAAATTCTGAATATGAATGCTTATTTATGTGGGGATTCAGGAGGAAGAGTTACAGGGCTCAGCCACCTGGATTTCCAGATGCAATTTCTCTCCATTCCCTCTGAGGGAGAATAAGATGACAGAGGAACTGTATTAACTTGGTTCCTATAAAGATATTAAAAACACAAAGGGGTTTGTACCTTCACTGATTTCTTACAATTATTCATCACTTGCTTTGGACAACAGCCAAAGTATCTTGATGCCTGAGGATTACATTGGGGAAGGGTGTCTCCACCAGTTCTGTGTGCATTTGATTGATCACATCTTGTGCTGGAGCTTTGGTTCACAATAGCACTGTAGGTGAAGGCACGGCCACTGTCTCTGTGAACTTGAGAAAATATTGGTTGGTCTTCTGCACTGAAAGCAGTCTCCTTCACCTCCCATTGGTGGTGTGGTCCTCAGCTCCATGGCCAATGGTGAGGAAACCAGGGCTGGGTAGGAGGCTGTCCTGCCCCTCTGCCATGGCAAACAGCAAAGCTCCTGTGTTACTCTTCAGAGAGGGAAGTTGAGGGCTGGGATGAGAGGCAGGAGAAGTCATACAGTGTTTCATACAAATTCTGTAAGGGTGTAGAGACCAAGGCAAAAGACTTCCCTTTTATTTTATGGCAAAAGCCACTGGACGTCTTAAACAATTTTTCCCAAAGGGATTTGGAGGTTTCCTTTCATCACTTGGCTCCCTCTCCCATCTCTCCTGCCTCGAGAACCTTCACCAGTAGGAGGAGGCTTTTACTCCCAACTGTATTCCAGGCTCCTCATATAGTACAAGGATGTCTTATCAGGAAAGCAGATTTGACTCACTTCAGCCATGTGGAACAGTGGGTGCATGTGATACCTTGTGACTGGCAAAGAAATCAACCCCTGCCTGTAGCCTCCAGCAAACCCCTTTGGTTTTATACCCATTTGCAGTCCCCTTGGCTAACATGTCTTCTGGCAGCACAGCAGAGATCTTTTAATTCAGCAAGTGTTATGGCTTTGGTAATGGCAAAAGAGACTTAAGAGGGGTGGGCTGTACCTCTGGTAGGTTGTCCCCCATCTGTACTGATTTGTTGTTCAGTTGCTGTCCTGTGCAGTCTGACAGTGCTATCACAGAGCAGAGAGGCAAACCCACTGCAGGAAAACATTGCAAAAAGCTTTCCCCAGTGTGCAGTAAATGCTACTGTCAGCATGTCCCTGGGGATTAGGGGGTAAGGCACAACCCATCAGTGTCTGCTGGAATCCAGGGAGGGGGAGGAAATCCATAAGGTAACAGCTGGCATCACTTGTTCCCTTCTAAGTTTCCTTTGTCTTTGCCAAATCCTATTCAATAGCCAAGTCCCACTGCTTGAATAAAACCCAGACATGTTTTATTCTCAAGTCCCTTGTTTGGTGAGAAATATTTCTAAGAGAAGGAAAGAATTTCTCGGTCTCGTGATTTGCGGTTGCTTTCTGCGGATAGAGGCACATTAAATATTCAGGGCAGATCATTTATCTCAGCCTGGCTTTCAGAATTTAGGTGTGTGCCTTAAGTGACAAGTTGTTAGATTGGATTTTAGTAGTTTAAAATGGTTTTGTGAAGGAGGATTGTTACAGACGACAAGGTAATTGAAGCAGGCTGGCCTCCAGCTGCCCCTTCTCTCTAGGTGTGGCATAGCAGAAAAGCACATGGATTAGCTCTGTTTTCTGTAGCCTTTCCAAAGCCAGAACTCAATAAAATGAACTTCAAGGAAGAATGCACAAGTGAGAGTGCAGCACAGTTTTATCTGTGATTAATCATTGCTTTTGGGTGACTGCTGGTTTAGATACAGGCACGCCTCTGAAACAGCCCCAGGGCTCGGGAGCTTTCCGGAAGCACAGGAGTCCTTGGGTTTCCAGAATGTTGTGTGAGTCAGAGCAAGATGAAAAACCAACAGAATACTGTTCAGGATGTGGTGTTCAGCTGCCAAAGTTCTGCAGATTTTCTCTGGGAGAATCTAAATAATTAGGCCCTGATCTTCTGTAAACTAGTCCAGCACTGTAGAAATACATCAGCTGAATTCAGTGTTTTCATCCACCAGCTGCTGCTTTATAGATACCTCTTGAAAGTCCATCCTCGGGTTGCATGTGTAGATTTGCCTCCTAAGTATTTAGAACAGAATAACACTTTCTTCCTTTTGTGGCTCACGCTGCCTGCTGGTTCAAGTGGGAGTTGAGGATAAGCAAATATCTTTGTTCTGTTCCCCCTTTCTGCTTGACATGTCTGGAATTCGTCAGTTCATCCTGTCAGGGGGTTTTTGCTTTATCACTCTGCTGCATCCCCCTGCTACTGTAAGAAACAGCCATACCACTTGCAGATAGTTCTGTAGGTTTTCCTAAACATTGCATAATACTGGATAAAATAACTGTTCCTGCTAAATCCTTTTGAGAGCAGTGGAAAAATGTGGTCGTCATCTGGAACTTGTGAGATGGAGACCTCTTGTTTCAGGCCTCCAGATTAATTCTTTCATCACACTGCTCAGTCTGGAAGACAGCACCATTCTTTTTACATACCAATCCCTATTCCCTGGGCTGCAGAGGAATGAAAATTAATGTGATGGTGGAATTAAGTCTTCAACTAGAAAGAAAATGTTTACCTTAATGGTTCTGTGCAGTACCCAGATTATTTTGAATTGATCGTCCAGCTTGGGTTTTGTCTAAAAAGTTGCATCTCATCCTCAATTAATTATATTAACTGAGAAAGGTTTGAGGGGAAGAGAAGGAAGAGGCTTTACTTCATCTTCTGCTGTGTGTATAGCAAAGGTCAAGGCACATTAAATATTTAAACTGCAATAACTTAGACCTGGGGAAACTGTAAAACCAAGTTCTTAATGTGTGAATTCACTTTTCACCATTCCCTATTGATTTTTTTTCACCTTAGGCAATGACATTGACTAATTTTACTTTGATCACAGTTACTTTATAGCAACTTTTGTTGCCCCAGTTTACAAGAGCTGAATGCAGTTGTTCTTGGTTTTATTCCACTGGAATTCCTTAGTTGTTGTTCATCTTGACCTTGGCTCTTGTGATACAGAAAGCTTTTTACAGTAAGATCAATTTAATCTGATTTAGTGATAACACAACACAGTGCTGAGCACAAAATTGAAGTTCATGATTAGCTCATATATTCTTTTCAGCTCTTTTTCCTTCCCATATTCTTCCCTCCCCCACACCATTTATGCTGTCCCCTGTAGCATATCCAGTCATTTTTATCCACTAACACGAGCAGCACCTTGCATTAAGCTCTGCCCAAGGACTCGAGGATGAAAATACCTGTGGAATACATGTTGCTCCAGAGCAGCTTGAGAAAGGTCAGTTTGGTCACCCTGTATTAATTCTCATTCTGTGTTTTAGACATGTTATTGTTGGGCAGAGCTTATTCAGGAGTGTGTTTTCAGAGACATATTAAAGCTTTGTAAGAGGAAATAAATGGTTAAATAACAGCAGAAGCCTTTACAGTTCTTCTGCAATCAATGTCATGGTCTGGCTTCAGGTTTTGGAGGGAGTAAACTTGGTTTTGCATGTTTTAGAGAGCTATCTTTCTGAGTTAATTTCCACTTTTTTTTTTTTTTAGCATTTTCAGTAGGGAAATAGCAGCAGTGAAATCAGACTTGGAGCACAGAAGGGTAGGGATCTGTATCAAAGCAAGTGAGAGCATCTGACCTGAGCTTTCACACAGTGTGGTGTGGAACACTTTTCCCTGCCTGCTGGGATTGTTAAATTGGTGTTAGAGCTTTTCATCTGTGTTAGCAGGGGGTGTTCCCAGGGAGATATTTGTTGTCACCCTGATGTGTGCAAGCGTGTAAATGAATGTCAAAATGTAGGGTGAAAGGAGAAATGTTCCCCTGCTATACCTGGATTTGGGGATCTTGGATGATGAGGATTTAACCCAGCAGTAGTTCTGTACCTTTCCACAGAGAATCCACTCTCACCACCCATGAGGCGAAAACTTCTCAGCAATTTAAGAACTTCCCACACTGCTGCATGTGTTTGTTGCCTCTCAAAAAAGCCTAGCTCTGCCTTCTCTGCATCTTCCAAATAGGTAGTTGAAGATTCCAGTAAGATTTTTCCCCATTTGCTTCCTTTTCTTGAGGCTGAACCAACTTGGTTGTCCTGGTCTCTTCTTGTACATGACGTGCTCAGGCTCCAGGGCATCAGGTGGAATTGCTGCAGGTTACTGTGGGTCTTGTACTGGGGAGCCCAAAAGCAGGCACAGTTCTACAGACATGATCTGGAAAATGTTGGATGGATTGGAAAAGAAATCCCTTTTCTTGGACTGATAGCTACACTTTGGCCTGTACAGCCCAGTACCTGTTTGGGCTCTTGCTGCACAAAAAGTGTCAGTGTAAGAAATGAGTCACAAAGTGAACTGGAAATGCTCTGGATTGGATTTGTACATATGCAACCATCTTGTCCCTCTCTTCCAAGGAACAGTACCAGCTTGGGTCTTGGAGCTTTTTTAGCAGGAGGCAGCACTGAAGGATCCTGATCACCTCCAAATATCTGTGCTTTACCTTATCAAATGATAGTTTAAATCCGATGGGGAACTTGCCTTGAGTTTCTACCCTGATGCAAAATCTTTGAGGTTTTTTAAGTCTTGCTGCTAATAATTTGGACTCGGGCATTAAAAATGAACCTCTAATGGAACAGGACTTGCTTCATCATTTTGCCCTGGCTGCACACTGTGTTTTTGAGTTTGTAAATGCCCTCCTGCAGCAAATGATCTGTCTTCTCTTGCCAGCCAGTCTCTTGGGCAGCTCCTATTTCTGCTCCTCATCAGTTTTTCCCCCCTCTATTTGTAGTTATTTCTGTCAACTCCAGAGTCCTTTAATCCAACTCCTAATTTAATTCCATTGCTTGAAGGTCTGCATCTGGCGAGGATCTGTGTGTTAGGCTGCAGTTTTACAACAGATTGTTCAGTCATGTAACTTTTTGTTTCCTTCTGGGTGAAAAATTACGCCAAAGCTGCTACTACTATAGCATACACTACTGCCGGAAAGTGTAGCTTCCAATGGAGCCAGCTGTGCTGCAGAAAACAGTTACACTACAAGGTCATCTGGATTGCTGGAACTCGTGGGGTTGGGAAGTGATGCCTTCTTGCATTTTGATCTGCACCTGACCAAAACAGAGCTGGAGCATCTCTGTGTGCAGCTGCCTGGCAGCTGTGTGGCTGTGATTAGTGGGATCAGCATCTCTCTCTGCTGGGTGTGTTACTTGCAGGGCAGTGCATGTGTTTGTGCACACAGGTGGGGATATATCCACATACAGTAATCAGCAGTGGGAATTAGCTGGCTGTGAGGGTGGGCTTTCCCTGTTAGGGTGTCTTTCATGGGGCAGTAATACACCAGGGAGCATTGTACTTTGGCCTGAGCAAGACATTTAGAAAAATACTTGGTTTTCTTGGAGCACTATATTTAAATTCCAAATTTTTAATCAACTTTTGACCTTTGTATTTATATGTTCAGAAAATTCTTTTGATACCTTTTCAATTTACCAACACTGAATTAAAACCTTTCAGAATGTATGGCTGGTCCTCTCCTTATGTGTCACTTTAAGTTTCAGAGCCTGAGGGTAGTTGTGCCAAATCTACCCCTTTGCTCTCAAGATAGAAAAAAAAAAACCATTGACAATTCATGGGTGGCAGCTAAGGAAGAAACCCTTTAAATATTTTTTTTCAGAGAATATTAAATTAGATCTGTGTAAACATAAAATTTCTATTTATTAATGTGTGTGGGTGGGTGTGTGTGTGAGTGTGTGTGTCAGTATAGATATATAAATGGTCCATGACTATTTCTTTCTCTTAAATGGTACTTACACAGACTTTTATACAGTATGTTGGTAAATTCCTGCACCAGGCACTGATTCTAGAAGAACAACGTACCTGTTTTTGTAACGAGTGTGAGCAGCCAGTGGAAGCAGCTTTACTTCAGTGATTGCTTTCATTCCTCTTGCAGAGCAGAAGAGACAACTTGGTACTTGCATTTTCCTTGTGTAGGAGCCCTGCTTCTGGCTTTGTTGTGCTTTCAGCCACCCCAGTCCGTGCTGCTTTTCTGGCAAGAAAATCCCCCAGATGGCACTAATGAAAGCTGGAATCCTTTCTTGTCTCCAATTATCTGTAGTTGTGGTGTTGGGGAGTTCTTTACAGATTCTGCTCTGTAACTAATGGGACCTTATTTCTAACAGAGGAAATTTATGGCAGGTCCATGAGGATGCTGTAAGGCTGAGGAATTCCTCCCTGCCAGGTGGCTGAGCTAACACTGGGGCACTATGAAATAGTTTCTTTTCCTCTGTGGTGAGATTATTTTCCTTTTATCGTGCTTCTGTCTCTTTGTGAGGTGAGGTGTGTGTATATCCCCTTAAAAACAAACACAGAAGAGTTTTTCTAATGTTCCCATTCACAGGGAGTACATTTTACCAAACTGGCCAAATTTCATTCCACAAGGATCATTAAATTCACAGAAGGGTGTATCTTGACCCACTTGGATCTTTTGGGAATTATTCTTAAAAGCAGGTGATAGTTGGCTTCCTAATTCCTAATTGCTGTTGCAGAAGTTCCTTTCTCTGTGAGGACCTGAGTTCAGGCTTCACCTTGGTGATCACTGGCTGGTGACGGGGCTTCAGTACTTAAGGGAGAACACGGTTGGTCGTAGGAAGAGTAACAGGAATGGGAGCAGTGAAAGGAAGCAGCTTTCCTTTTCAGCAGAAAACAGCCCTTGTGAAAACCAGATTTCCCCTGATTTTGGTTATTCCTTGTGTCTGCTGCCAAGTTAAGCGACGCCCCTTCGCTGTGATCTCCACCTCTCTGTCCTGCTTCTACCCCACCTCAGTTTGACTTCAAGCAGTCTGAGACAAAGCCTTCCTTAAAGCTAAGGGCAACAGTGAGGAGAAATGTCTGTTAGCTGAAGAAAAATGAGATTTAAATGGAGCAGAAAAAGCGAGATTTCCTTCTGTTTCACTGTCTTGCTGCTAAAAGTCTGGTGCAGAACATCCTGATGTTCTGCTGATTTATATGCTGCTCTTGGGAGGTGGGCAGGCTGCTAAGTAGGCAGGTTGGCTCTGTAGCAGTTGAATTACTGTAAACCTAAACTTGCTTAATCTCTCCTGGTTTTTTCTCCCTCAAATGGGTTTGAAGTAGAGGGAACCAGACTATTGTTTTTAAGATCTTTTTGCTTTAATAGAAGACAGAATGTAAAGAAAAAAAAAGGCTCATTGAAATGTACTGATACAGAAATTGGCTTTAAAATACAAAAATCTTACAAGACCATATATTGTCTTGTGTTCTGGACATGCCTTGTCCAGCCTGCCAGCCAACCTCCTCATAGCCAAAAAGAGCATTTTAAGAGTCTGTAGCTATCCAAAGGACTGTTATCCAAAGGACTGTTAAAAGCTGTTTAGGGATAAATCAAAAGCTGTGCATGAGCAATGGGTGGTAAAGCTGGAAATTCAGATCCAACTCTGAATAATTGCTCTAAAAAACAAATCCAGAAAAATCTGACTCTCCCCCTGTTCTACAGATGCACATTCCCACTGAGTCCCCAAGGGAAGGCTGAGAGGAGAACCTGAAATACCTCAATGGCTTGACAGAAGGGTTTGCTACAGAGACCTGGGCCAACCTTACCCCTTTCACCTCAGTTTGGCACTTATTTTAAAAATGGTGATGGAGGGGGAAACTAAAGCCATGCTTGCATTTCAGTTCCTGGTGTTACCTGTGCAAGACACCTCCAGCCAGATGTTCTGGGGTTTGTGGGGGTTTTTTTTCTACAGCTGATATCAAAAGTATTTTTTGTGACTTGTTTTCGTTATCAGTGCTTTTTACAAAGCAGGTGTGTATCCCAAGGGGGAAGCTCCAGCTGGGGCAATGGATGTGAAGTTCACCTTCTTTCTCTGGCCGTGTTGCAGCACTGCTCCTGTGAGATGCTCAACTGCACAGCCAGACCATGGATCCCACGAGGGTGGGATCCTGCATCCAAGGAGCAGGACCTGCATTTCCACATCAAATGGGATACAGTGGTTTTGTTTGCTTGTTTGTTTGTTTTTTTTTTTAATATGGAGCCATACATTTTTTTAAGTAATTTGAGATCTGAATGTGATTTCTAATGTATCGAGAACGTTAATATTTTAAAGCTATAACAAAGTTTTAAATTTCTACTTTTTTTTTTTCCATTTATTTTAACTGTTCTGTTACCTTAATTTGATGTATGTGGTTGGGGAATGTTGCTTCTCCTCTTAGCATTTGTTTCTATAACCAGAAATAAAATTATATATGAAAGAGAAAATGCCCTGAAATTGCTTTGCTGCTTTGGGGTGACAGACCTGAATCTTTCCAGTGTAGTATCATAGTGAGGTTTGAGTTTCCTGCAGCAGTTTGTGTTGTTCTCACAGTGTAAGGGGACAGTGTGTTTGATATTTTTTCCTTTTATTTTATGTAGGAAGTAAGTATTTATCTGCACACCTTGCACTGTTCCAGAGTTCACAGACTTTTGATCCCTTGGCAGTTATTTGGGCAGCTGTTGACTCGCAGTAAAGTGAACATAATGTACATGTGTTTGAGATCTGTAATGTTTCCCCTGGGAGTTATAAACTATTCCTCCAGCTCCAGCTTTTGTCATGAAGTGAAACATTGTTATTTTGAAAGAAACTATTTCAGTGTATTCCCCTGTAACTCATAGTAATGGTTTCATTGAAGCATATGAGATCAGAAAACATCTACCTTATAGATGGGGTTTTCCTTCCTTGCCCTCCTAATGCAGCTACAATTTAAGTTCTGGGTTTATTTTGACTAAACATTCTGAGCTCCAAAGTTAAATAGGAGTATCTTTTAAGACCTCAGTTGACATAAAGTAGCTGTAATTCATAGAATCACAGTATGATTTGGGTTGGAAGGGATCTTAAAAATTATCCAGTCCCACCCCCTGCCATGGGCAGGGACACCTTCCACTATCCCAGGTTGCCCCAAGCCCTGTCCAACTTGGCCTTGGACACTTCCAGGGATGGGGCAGCCACAGCTTCTCTGGGTGTCCTGTGCCAGGGCCTCCCCACCCTCACAGGGAAGAATTTCTTCCCAATATCCAATCTAACCCTGCCCTCTTTCAGTTTGAAGCTGTTCCCCCTTGTCCTGTCCCATGTAAAAAGTTTCTCTCCATCTTTCTTGTATTCTCCTTTCAGGCACTGGAGGGATTTTTTTTTTTAATTGACTAAGTAAAAAATAATAACATAGTACACAGTGAGCAAAGATGTTCAGTAGAGCCGTTTTTCAGGAGCATCTTTTAAAATTGTCCTGTCTTTGGTTCCCCATGTGCATCGGGTGTATTTTCTCACCCAGCCAGGAGAAAGGGTGCATAGAAAACACTGAATGCTCCTGCTTGCTCCCCTCTACTCCAGCTCTGACTGTTCCAGCTCAGGTGATGGATGCTGCTGGTCTTCCCAGGGCAAAGGGGAGCTGCTGCTCTGTTGGCTAATTGCCCAGGAACGCTGTTAATGAACTCTAATGCCTGGAGGGTGCAGGGCAGGGAAGTACCCAAGGGCAAAGTGCCAGCCTTTCCTCCCCTGACACCTCCTCCTCCTCCCAGGGGGATGCTCAGCATGGTGGTGAGAGCTTCTGCCTCGTTCGCAGTCAGGAGAGACGAGACTGATGGGGAAATACTAATGGATTTGTAACCTTTTGGAAGTGCTGGAGACCCAGCTGCTGAGCAGCTATTTTTAACATCTCCCACCAGTTTTGGAAAACACTGTTTTGTGAACAAGTTGCAAGAAAGGCTGATGCGATACCGTTTACCATCACACTCTTAGAAAACCTATCTCTGGCATCTCTCTGCCATGTGATGTTTCCCATAGATCTGAGCCCCCAGAGCTGTTCCCCTTCATCCCGTGCAGGATGGCCTCGGAACCAAGCTTCTCCTCTGACTCCTGAGGTGGAGAATAACAGCAACAGCACCTCGAAGTAGTCCACGATGTCCAACGGAGATAATTTTGGCATTACCCCTCCTCTGTGCAGGCAGGACGCGGCCCAACCCCGCCGGCCGGAACCTTCGTGCAGCAGCCGCCGCGTCCCCCCGGAGGCGGCCCCCGGCGCACCGGCCGGCCATGGGGGGGCGCTTTGGGCGCGCACCGGGGCGCGGGGCCTGGCGGGGGGTGCGGGATGTTCTCGGCGGCGGCCGAGAGCTTCCTCAGGCAGGCGAGGTGTGCTGGAGATCCCTCGGGAGGGCCGGGAGACCGCGGCAGGGACCCCTCGGGGCCGGCCGGGGTCCTGGCGGGGCGGCCGCGCCCGGCGCTGAGGGATCAGCCGGGCCCGGGTTGGGTGTGTAGGGGGAGTGATGGGGGCGGGAATTGCGGGTCCGGGGTCCTGACAGCCGCTGTCCTCCCCCTCCCCCGGCAGGGAGATCCATGAGGAGGAGCTGCGGAGGTTCGCCGGCCGCGTGTCCGCCCTCCTGCAGGGCCCCGAGCCCGGCGCCGAGGCCGCGGAAGGGCTGCGGAGGCTGCACCTCACCGTGGCCGCCACCAAGTACCCCCGCAGGTGAGTGAGCGCTCTGGGGCTCTCTTGGTGCTCAGGGAAGCAAACCGTTGCTTTCTTAACCACAGCAAATAAAAGGAAGGTGATGGGTTAGTGCTTTAAAAAAAAACCGCCCTGTTTTTTGGAAACCCTGAGTTCGATATAAACATTAAGCCCCTCTTTGCCTCCCCCCCAAGCTAAGCACAAGGTGCCTGCCTGCTTTTGCAGTGGGAGTAACAAGTGTTGGTGTCACTGAGCTCTCGTCAAGAGGAAAAGCATTCAGAAATGGAGATGATAAGGTGACATCAGTCACTGTCGAGGGGGATCATTCCCAAGCCAAAAATACACAGGAAATAAACATCTGAATCTTTTCTTGCCTGGCTGTGATGCTTTGCTGTGACTCTTGCAGGCTGGATGGCAAGTTTGTGGAGCTGTTGCAGACAGTGCTGTGCTCACCCAAAAGCCCTGAGCAGGTTCAGGTGTTATGTGCTGCCATCCTGAGAGAGATGTCACCTTGCAATGATCTGATCCTCTGCTGTGATGAGATTCAGGATACAAAGCTCTTGAGCCTGGTATCCTCCGTCCTTCTGGCTCAGGTAAATGACCTGGCAAGTCACAAATCTTCCCTTGTCAATATGGATTTGCTTTTTGATTGTTCCCTGTTCCTGAGCTCCTTCCTGAGCTCAAGGAGAGTGAAAAATCATTTGAAAGTATATAGGAAAAAGCAGAGGCATTACGATGTTCATTTAAGGAACCTCATTATTCTGCTTTGCACAGGGAAAAATGGCAGCTTTTTTTTTTGTGTTTGGCATTTGATAGCAAAAACTGCTTAAAATTGTACTGTTTAGAAACTGATGCCCTGGAAGCAAAAAGGAACCCTTTAGTCCTGGCTGCTGGAATAGATTTCAAACCAGGGCTGCTCGAACCTGGAGAGCAAAGGATTTTAGGGTGAATTTACTATTCCTTTTTATGATACTGACTTTCACGTCCAAATATAAAAAAATATACACAGAACCTATAAAACATGTAGGGCTGTAAATGTGAATGACACTGCAAAGATCCAGATTTTCCAAGGAGAAGAAAACATGAGAACTTTCCTGTTTTCAGAGCTGCCTGGGGATTAAGCTGGAAACTTCTTTTTTTCCCCCCTACTCCTTTTACTATTATTGTGCCTGTTAAAGATAAAATATTTTTCTGAAACTTCTCATTCTGAGTTTCACTGTGTGTTTAGAAATGTCTCCTATGTTTCTGACACTCATTTGAGTCTTGCTTAGCTAGAGGAAATGAAACAGAAACCACAAAAGTACTGCTGATGTGCTGCCTTCCAAAGCTTCTCTTGCCCATATCCAGCCTTGAAACTGTCCTGCAGCTCCACGGTGTAAAAATATACTCATTAACACACATAAGCAGCCCCATCATTTGGGATCTGTGAATTCAATTTACAGAAAATCTCTGTAAAATGTGGTAAAATAGCCTGTGCTGTGAGTCCTTTTTGTGTTTGACTTTTGTACTGATGCCTGATGGAAGAGGTTGCATGGTGTTGGACTCTAGCACTGGTAGATTGTCTGCCCAGCTTTACCTCTGCTTTATTTTTAAGGGAAACAAGAAGGGTGAAGTGGCTGCTGTGGGGCAGCGGGTTGTAAAAGTCCTTGAAGGAAGATTGCCCGAGGGTCAGAGTGCTCTGCTCCTCCTTCCTGTCCTGGCAAATGTCATCAATCTGTCACCAGAATCTCTAACTGAAGGTAAATA